CAGTAGGACTTTTGGCCAAGGGACGAGAAATCGAGGCCGAAAGCTGGCGGATGAGCTTCGAGGGAATCAGGCACAGTGGCGGGTAGCCAGACATGCGAGACATGATGTTCTCAGGTTGTTTTTGGATAACACTGCTTTGGCATCTTTGGCCGACCAGCACAGCACCAGACAGTCTATACATCTCGCCAGATAAAGTTGTGTATTCTTGCGGCGGCGTGGAGGTACCAGGTAGCTACTTGTGGGGTAGGAACACCTAGCCTAGCCTAGCAGCTTAATGCACAGCAGCCCCAGATTGCACAGCAGAAAGGTCAATCGTTCCAGTCTTTTGCCACGCTGAGGTGCAAGAAAGCCCTCAGGCAAATGCTGAGGTGCAGCTGGCCTGCCATCGACTGTTTCCACCGTCATGGAATATTTTTTGTTGATACAGTTTTACTGGCACTTAAATACTCATGTACGGTAGCCGAGTTGGTGAATGTGTAGTGTAGCTGTACTGGTGCTCGTGAACACCCCAAAAAGTGTTTGCGACCCGAATCATCGAACATATTTCTACTTGGATAGATTTCTTGGGTTAGGGTGCACTCCGTGCACACCTCATCCATGGGCCCCAACGGCCATCGGTCGTTGTTTCTGGTTGAAGTTGGCAGGACGCCGCAATGGCCATGAGACGTGCTGGATGGCTCAGACTTCCAAACTGTTTCCATCAATCTTATTAGCGCAGGGTGCTTTCGTCTCAGGCGCGAACCAGGCTTCTAAGAAGGAATTAGGGTGCGGGGCTGACCACTGCATGCTGGTGCAGCTATTTTTTGGTACATATCGTCCATAGATCTTTGCGTTGAATCTGGACTTCCGCAGCAATCTAGCGAAGCAACGGTGGTTCCCTCGAGATGGAAAACATTTTGACCTTCAGAGATGGTGAGAAAGCTTCCAACGTGAAGTGGCGAGAAATCGGGATGACTGGAACCGAGTCAGGAATCCAGGCACTTCGAGGTACGTACCAGGCTGAAGAGGCGGCTTCACGAGTCGACGATTTCTTACTAGTAGGTGGACACCACTAGGTATATAGCTACTGGAAAATCCTGCAAGTACCAACTACATGACATGATGGTCGTCGGCGTGGTGATCCACTCTAGCTTCCAACATCTTCCAACTGTCCCCCATTCGGAGCTGCATGGAGCGAACTCAGTTCGTTGGCCAACTGTGCTCGGGGGGTCCCACGATGTCCCAAGGCATTAACGGCGCAGCTCAAGCAGACATTGACACAGCCTGGGTCCTTACGCGAACAGCGAACAGCCGACTGGGCGCTTCCAGGAGGAACGCAATTGAAGACCAAATCACCCTGCTGCGAGGTGATAGTGTCACACACACACACATCTCTATATATAATATATATATATATACATATGTACGATATTTATATATTAATCATATATCAAAACATCTATTAATGCAGCACATAAACTCACAGCGATAGAGAGAAAGAAAGGAGAGAGGTACTGAATTTGTTGGTCGCGAAGTCGCAACAGAACAGCCACGGAACCGTGAGAGCGATGCAGATCGCACCCATTTGAGTGGCTTCAATGAGGAAAGACACCCATCCATCAGTGGCTTCAAAGGTTCGATGGCACCACCCTGACTAGGTGGGTGGTTTATATGGAACTCTAGTTCTATGTCGGACACATTGGGATTGGCGCCATCCGTCGCCATCTATACTCTGAAACCACTGTAGGTGTTTAGTGGCTAATTAGAACCTCCACTTGGATCCACTTATCATGTTCATGGCTGCTGAACATCTTAAGTCAAGGGGTCATCGGATTTGATTCAGCTTTCCACCTTTGGGCAGATCTCGAGGTCCTTACATTGAGCCTCCGTCAGTGCACGCGCAGTCCTTAGCTTCCTTACTGAAACTGCCGTAACTGCCCATCCTCCCCCCAGTTTACATGTCTTTGTGAAGTTGAGGTGGGTGATGATAATTAATGTCGACGTTCTTTGTTGCTTGTCAATCTTCAAGCAAGCCAGCAAGTGAAACTGTGAAGGCACGCCGAATCTCGCAGAAATTCAAGCCACCACCCCGTGCCTCTGAGTCTTCAGGTGGCAGCGAAGCCGGCGTTCGCTTGTGTCACCTGAGCCCTTTGGGACGTGGGAGAAGGCCATCTTTGATTAATCTCAAAGGGTCAATAGTTGCCAAGAAAAGGTGGGTTTGTTACATCCAACACCATCACCACACCAAAATGAACCCAAAACAATCCAAAACACCTTGTGACATAACGATTCAATAACTTAGATGTCTCTTTGGTCAAGCCCTCTTGTGCCATTGGCGCACTACCTTTGAAGGATGATGCCCCCCATCTTCGGAGCCTTCAGTCCGCCATCGGCGCCAACACGGCCATGGAGGCATTAATGAATCGTGAACACATGGCGCGCGCAGTGCCAAAAGGCTTCGACCCTTCGCCCCTTTTCATGGCTCGAAAAGCGACCGGGGAGTCGGTGCGATCGACGGTTCCCAGACCCAAAACCGGACCAGGAGACGGTGTATTTGGGAGTTCTTTGCCAGACACATGCCTTTGGTACCTTAAAATGCAATAATGTAGACTTGATTCATCAAACTCAAGCTCTTCGTATGAAGAGATTTTGCACTCCAAATGGGGGGGGGGGACACAATGATTCATTATGGGTGTGGCATGGGCCAATGGACTTTGGACTCAATCTTTTCCCATTCGCTTGGAACAAAAGGGATCCGCCGGTTTCGTGGCTTGCAGTTTTTCGGGTCCTTGAGCTGTGGTGCGTCGCAATGCATCCCAGATGCACTAGCCATGTTCCAAGCCAGATTGGTAGCACCGTCTTGCGGCTTCTGCAGCCAAGCATGGCAAATCTCAGACTACGCTCACCATGAGTTTCGAGAGAAACCGATACCTCCACTAGAGCCAACGCTCCACTAGAGCCATGGGGAAGACGGGCCAGAGCCGCAACAGCAGCAAAGGCACAGTCGATTGCTGGGACACAAGAGCAGGTGACGGATGCGGACGCTCCACCAATCCACCAATTCGGGTTCCACGGTGAGCGAGGCTCCAACAAGAACTAAGAGGCATTGAACAAACAGAGCAACTCATGGAAGTCACCCTGGTTTTGCTTAAGGTGTTTTGTTTTTTTCTTACCCTATGGGTAAATCCACTTCTGGAGAATAGTTTTTCTTTCCAAGGTTCCTGGCAAATTCCAAGTCACCAGAAGTCCAGAAGGATGTTCATCAACTCCCGACCCACTCGCTCATGCTCGCTCGAATTTGCCGAGCTGCACCAGGCAGCACCACCACAGGCAGTAGCAGCTCTGGCGAGACGCCTCGGAGGCGTTATGAGACCCAGACGTTCTGGGATGAGCGCCTTGGCCAGAATCGAACCGGGGCCCGCCTCACCTAGTGGTTCACCTAATTCGTCAATCAATTCCCCCTTTGTTCTACGTGTTTTTCCCCTCTCACACGACGTCTTTGCCGCGACGGTAGGTGGTACCGGAAGCAGGGCGATGCGGCCGTGGAGTGGTCCGGCCCGGTGAACGACTTGGAGCCTCGGTGTGGAAACCGGTCCGGTTTGGTCTCCCCGTGCAGGGTAGGATGATAAGGGCATTGCTACTAGGAAGAAGGGCACTACTAGTAGAAGCTACTAGTAGCTAAGAGGCTACTAGTATGACAATATGATCTGATGACATCTCGGTTGTTTGTTTTTCATGGGGGGTCACTCGGTCCTTCACTCCCTAACTCCTATAGTCATTGGAAGGTATTGGAAGTATGGAGAAATAGTCTCAGACATGTACGGACTGTGCCATGGATGCTCCGGCGTTCGCATTCCCTACAAGTAGGCCAGAGACAACTCTGGTCAAATTACCTATTGAATCATGCCACCATAATAAAGGATCCAGAAGCTCCGAGGCCTGCTCCTTTTACAAAAGACATCCATTGAAAACATCCGGGGACACTAAACCAGGAGAAAGGAAAGTACCGGATAAGCAACCAGGAGATGGCACGAAATCAAGCTCGTTCAATGTGGAGGTGATTTTTTATCTGAGGTTCAACAATGGAAAAACACAATGGAACAATCAGGGAAGGAAGGCAAATGAAGAGGAGTTCTTTTTTGGACGGGAGGAAGGCTCGGTAGGCGGGATCCCCAGAGGGAAAGTTGTGTATTTGGGGTCAAGCTCTTTTTTGCTATTGCCCACCAGTTTTTGTGAACAATGTCTCGGCTTCATGAAGGGGTTTTTACTATTTTATTAAGGATTTATGTGAATTAGCTGATGCAGGGATGTGGTAAGGAGTTGTCCGGACGCTCTTGGTGGTAGTTGGCAGTTTGGTGCAGTGTTTCTACAGCTGGGTTTTGCTAATGTAAATGCGCGAAAAGTATAGCTGAGCTGTCTCACAGTGCTTGTGTGAGGTTTTCAACGCAATCACAGGAGTTGTGGTCTGAGAATGGACCGACAGACGAGAGCGGACACGCTGCATCACTTGCCAATTGATGTCCATGTGTGTGCAGTAGCACCAGCGAATATACAGTGATGATAATTGATGCAAGAATGAGGACTGCATGCCTGGCCCAACCTGGCCCACTATCAACTTAATATGTGATCATGTAACTTCCGCAAGCGCTACATGAATCCATCAGGGCTGCCAGTGCTTGGTGAGGTGCTGGCCAGCCTGCCGCAAACAGAGGCGCATCACAACTTTCTTCTACTGTACCTCGTAGGCCCAGCATGCCCCTGGTGAAGACTCTAAGAGTAGATTCAGTAACACAAAATGAGGAATTGGCCATCCTATGTGTGAGTAGGAGGTGTCCATTCTGCAGACATTTGTGTTCATTTCCCATGTTTGCAACTACCACAGACGAGTGGGAAACATTGCGTTTTTTTGTTGATTCCTCTAGTGCAATCCTGCCATCTAAAGTGCGAAGCTGAACTCAAGAGCATTGGCTCAAGTGAGATTGCCAGACAAATCACCGAAACTCGCCTTTGTCGGTGGGAGGATGTTGTCCAGAGAGTTCTGCGGAATTCTGATGTTGGCAGCCACTGGGCTTTGTGTCACTGGGGATATGGTCACCAGCAAGCTGATTGAGGCCTCCAAGTGGCCATATTGGTATTTGGTCGCAGGAGTGGCACGAAGATCTGATTGTTTCGAGCCCTAGGAGGCACTAGGAGGCACTAATTAATTTGGGCTTCATCGTCGAGTCTTGATGTTCATATATGTTCATATCTCGTCCTGACCCGAGACATGGATCAAGTGGCTTGAATTTGGAGCCAAATTCATGCTTCCGGCTGGGTGTTCGTGCAGGATCCTGTTTGGTGGCCTCCATTTGTAACGGCCTGGCTGTCTACTGGTTCCGTTGGGAGTTGCCGACTCGCGCTGACTTGAAGTGGGTGATCTCTCGATCATTGCTGGAGGACTTGCATTGGTATTTGGCAGTGGTGGCAGTGCTTCGGAAGATTGATGTGAGGACACAGATGGTGATAGTGGGTATCCTCAATCCATGATATCCATGAAACCCAAAGCCCTCACTAAACAAATAAGTTGGTGAGCAGTGTTTGCGTGATGAAAGATAGAATGCGAAGATGTCTCGAAATATATAGTTATTCTTCATTTTTTTGTTCTCTCATAATTTGACTCATAATTGCTGGTTTTCGGTTCAGTCTTGCATACTGTGACCCCGTGTCCCGCTTTGCCGCTGTATTTTGGCTAGGTGTTCCAGTCTACGACTGGCCTCATATTGTTAGAGCAAGCAGCTTTCTGCCCTTAACATCCCTTAACCGCACACGAGTTTCTGAAATCAGCTCCCAAAGTAGAAACAAAGTGAAAGGGATTAAAGATAGACAAAAACACCACCAAACTGTCCCTTCAGGTTCAACAGTCCCTTCATATATCCCACATCGTCTATCTTCCATTTCGTGTATCCTCCCCTTCCTCCCCACATTAAACAAATGGTGCTAAGCCTTGGACTTCCTGACCCCCCGGCCAGCCCCGGCGGGTCAGTTGACCGAGGTCATCATCGGTGCCTCGCCGGGAGACGTGGCGGCGTTGACCTCGATCGACATCATCGCGGCCGCCCTCTTTGGGCTGATCTTCCTGGGCGAGCCACTGGGATGGAGGAAAATCAGAGGGGTCAGCCGTTGGTTCCCAACATGAACAGCGATGGAACTGCGTTTTGGAGTGGGTGGAACAAGCGCGCTTGTTTTACGGAGTGCCTCCCAGGAGTGTATGGAAAAGGGAGGGGAGATGTGGAATGGGCGGAACATGGTGAAGATTGTGATGGAGTGTGAGTGAGTTCTTTTTTTGGTTGGAGGGGGGGAAAAAGACAGGGAAGCAAATGTCATGGATATGGAATGAGAAAAGGAGAAGAATGAGACGGGTATATAGATGGAGGAATGCTTGACGCCTCATGGGTGGTGACCAGAGTATTTGATGGGCTGGGCTTTTGGGCTCGGCGATCGGCAGTGTTTTACTTTGTTTTTTGTTTAAGAGTGAGGATCTAGTCTTCTTGAAAGGTCTTAAAGTGGCGAAACCGGAGGAGGTTGGGTTGTCTCCAGAGTCAGATCAGCCTGAACTGCTTGGGCTGGCACCTCAGGAAGTTGACGATTTGGCACTTCGCAGCGCTCACCCTGTCCGTAGCCGGGGCCATTTGCATCTCACAGCCAGAGGCTTGGTAGTGCTATACATCAAGCACTGGGGTGGGATGGACCCTGTTTGACCCTGTTTCCGCATGCTGCTGGCACCCCTGGGAAGGAATGGAATCGATTTGTATAAGAGAGCTGTTTCCGTGGAGGGATGCTGATCCAGAGCTTTGTGGCGAAAATCGCTGGCTAGTTCGATTATCTCTGGAGGAATCCAATGTACAGCACAGGACCTTGGAAGATGTTCTTTCAGCTTTGCGACTTTTGCAGGCTAGTCCTTAGACGATTGAAGATTTTCAAGCTTCTCCCGCGCTGAGGAATTCATTTTCGGCTTTCCAGAAGGCAAGCACCACAGCCCTGTGGGCTACATCATGGCTTTGCTCTCGGGTTGCTTCCAGGCGGGTTCCTTTGTTTGTGCACGGAAATCTGCTCATCTCTCCATTGGGGTCTTGACCTTCAGCAGCCTGCTGCTAGCAGTGCCGATGGCCTTGGTCCCCCCGCTCCTGCCCATGGGTCGCTTGGAGAAGGAATTCCTTTCGGCTCCGACCACATGGCATGCTGATGGCAGGGGGCCACAACCGAACATACCAAGAAGAAGTTTCCAGATTCCCTAAGCCTTTGGGGCTCAGGTGAGGAACATATTGCATATGTTCGGCCCAACCAACACAGTGTGATAATGTACGTAGCTTTCCACGCATACCATCAATAGCCGAATCAAATGAGAAAACAGCGGACCATGTGCTGCGCAGCCAAGGTCATCATGCGACCTTCGAGCCTTTGGCAGAGGCAGGCCTCTGCCTGGAGACGGGGATTTTCCGTATGATGCAACCCAAAAGTCCTCCGCAGAATGGGTGTACCCGGATGGAAACAGTTGCCGTCTGAACTGCACTCCACGAATTAGGCCAACTTTTGACTCAAAAGCGGCATCATCTAGGTTTGAGAATCTTGTCAGGCCTTGCTTCATCGTCCGGTTTTCTTCCACCTCCCAGAATTTCGACTCAGCGTCTTCGTTCGCCTTCATCAACCGCCTTCATTCCACGCAGGAGCCCTGGACCGCCATGGGACTCCTGGTGCTCATCAGCCTTTGGACCATGTCTGCAGTGGCCCTCCCAGCTGCTGGCGCCACCCGATGCCCAGCGGCCGTGAGCGCCACCGTCTTCACCTCCGCCTGCATGGTGTCAGGTGGGGAGGACGGGAGGGACGGCGGCCTGGAGAAAAGCTGCCCCCCCAGGTCATGTGCACACAGGTCATATGGCTCATTTTAATGATCATATATGGTCACATGATGAGTGCGTCATGCTGCCAGAGAAGCTGGAAGATGTGCGAAACTCTGGTGCCCATGGTAACCACCCTAGCAGCCCTAGGGCGAGGGTTAAATGCCAGCACCTTTGAGCATATGTCCGTATGAAATGCAGCAAAAGATCCAGAATGTTTTAGATGATTTCAGGGTGTGCGAAAGAGCAGTGGCCGACCACCACATGCACCTCCCTCCTCCCTGACACAGACGAGGCTACCTAGCGCAGATGATCTTTTTCAAAGAGATTCCGCAAGCACTCACGCTGATTGGTGCTGGATGTATGCTCGTGAGCGTGGTCATCATGGCCATGCCTTCTACAGAGCCTTCTACAGAAACTGAAACGGAGGAAAAGGCTGCTGCCGCCCCATCAGCGGCCTCTGTGGCAGCGACCGAGGAGGCCCAGGCCCCTTCAACAGAGGATGATGCGACTTGGACGTGCAAGCACATGCGAGAGCACATGCGATTGATTGAAACTGTTTTTCATGGGCGAAAGCCGTGCAACTGCCGGAAACCTTGTGCCGTGAAACTGCCGGAAAACCACCCTGGGAACTTTGCGACATTTGTGAGGCCCGATCTTGGAGTGACCTCTCTCAACCCCCAGCAAGCCATACTTGGTGTGAAGATCCACTCGAACCACCCCCTCCCCTGCCCAAGGAGACGATGAGCCTTGGTTCCTTCGTTGCTTCTGAAGTCTCGTTCTGCTCCTCCTCCGTCCGTCATCGCTGGAGCCGCCGACGCTTGACGCAGCCAGAAGTGCTGGCGCAGAGCATCGGGGCAGCGTGGCCGGTGGTTTCGATGAGCGCATGAGACATCATGAGACATCATGAGACATCATGAGACATGATCCCTGGTACAGTACTTGGGTTTGAGGAAATGGCGGGGAGTTTTGAACATTGAAAGGGAACGAGTTTGTGAATTCACATGTGGATTTAAGTAGATTTGCGTAGATTTGTTGATGCTGATATGCTTCTTTGGGGCCCGCCAAGCCTCATGCCAAATACTTTTGAGGCCGTCAGGACAGGAGGTGCCACAGCATCTGGGCCTGACCTGCCTGAAAAACCTGGATGATCAAATTGGTCAGAATGGATTGGAACTGTGCTATCCATCCTTTCCCCTGTACAGCGCGCGGGAATCCTTGAACCCTTCAAACCCTTGAGGCTCAAGGCTCATGGGACTTCCTCGATTGGGGGAGCCTCTGGAAAACACGCAAAGGCAGAGAAGGGCGCCCTCAGGTTGTTCTTGTTGGACCTGTTGGACCTACTCGCCAGCAGGATCACTAGCAACCCCAAAAGGGAACATGTCGTCGTGTTTGCAGTTTGCTGGGGTGTAGGACCAATTGAAGACGCAACACGGACCAACAGAGAGCAGTTACCCTAGCACAAAACTAGGCCATAGGGCCAGGTCCTATGAAGGGCCTTTAGACCATAATTGATATGTTTTTCTCCATGTTGACAGTACACGGTATGCAGGCCGTGCTAACATAATAGACCAGTATATACTGTGATAGGCAGATCCGGCAAAGAAGGGGATCCCCCATGGATGGAGTGGCTACAACCTGTCAACAGGTAGAGCTACAGCCTACAGCACATCCCAAGAAAGACGGCACCCCGTGTTCTTGTTGTATAACTGTTAACCTTAATTGCGGGATTCTGAGTTCCATGTAAAGCTCAGTATCCTATATTAGTGTGTTATTCTAAGGAAGCATATAATGTATCCGTCTACACATTTCTCACATAATACCGTGGTCATTGTTTCTATCGTCTTCGATGAGATGAACAAAGTGTGCAGGGGGCATATGTTGTCCAAGTCTTAAACATAGCAACGCTCAACGCTTTTATTATCTTTTGTGTTTGGCCTCAAGATCAGGGTTCATGCTTTCCTGCAAGACCGGCCTAGGGCCTAGGGGCCTGGCATATGCATGGAAAAGTGCGAGGGGCATGAGCCAAGGATAGCATAAGCACAGATCTGTCAACCAGAGAGGTCAGATGATGAAATATCATGTGCAAAACCATGCAGAACCCTGTTAAGCAGCCTTTGAATCTACGGAGCTGACCCGTTCCAAGACCTAGCGTGCTGGTGTGAGTTTTGGTGGAATGTTCAGGCCCCGCTCAATGAAAGCAGAACCTGTGGTGCCCCTCATGCCGCAAAGACCAACACAGCAGCCCTTCCAAATGGTTAATTTACTAAGAGAGATCCTGTATAGGATGTGTTTGAAGTTTTGATGTGGAAAGGTCTCGCAAGCAAAAGCCTAATAATCCACCCTCACAGAAATCCTTTTTCTCCAAGATGCACCCGAACCAACCCATACATCCCCATTCATGCCAGGAGCCCTTGAAGGTTTGTGAATTGGGCTGTGGCTGTTCCCACCTGGCACCCATGCTGCGGGACTTTGGGGTTGGGATTGCCCAGTCGCCGTGAGTCGGCCCCATGTGGTCCCCATGTGGTCTCAGTGGCACGGTATGTACAACATTGTACAACAGGGAGGATCTACTCTTCTATCTATTTGGGGGTCTAATATGCTATAGGTTCAGTCTTTACTAAGGACCAATTATTTTTCCAATGCAGATGTTGGCAATGTGTCTTTCAATTTCAGTCTTCAATTTTAGCCTTTCAATTTAGCAATGTGTCTCTCAATCTTCTTTCCAATTTCAGTCTTTCCAAGAAAGCTGCATTGCTTGTCGAAGCCAGATGGTGTCAACCGTTCATTTGCACTCTGAAGCATCGCTTTCGCTAAGGTCAAGGTCACCGGCGTTGACTTTTCGCAAGAGGCCGCAGCTCACGGGTTAGAGCATCACAGCGAGACAGCTGAGTGTTCCAATGTATATACATATGTATGTCTTATAAGTTATATATATATATAACTAACTATTCTTCTAGTCTATATGAATATATATATGTCCATATAACTTCCCAATTCCGTCCCAGGGATGATATTCTTTCGTTCAGATGATCTCATCCGTTCAGATTCGCGTCGATTCCCGTCGATGGAGATCGAGCAAGCTTGAAGAAGGAGACGAAGTCGCCGCTGTTCCTTTCCGTGCAGGTGATCAATGCCAATCGACTCCGCCATCCGGAGATCCAGTGGGAATGTGTGGATGCCGGGAGCCCCTAGAGCTGAGCATGACTGCTATGAGCATGATGCTGCATGTGCTACTAGGGCAGGGCCTGCTAGGGAGGTGATCTTTGTGGCACACAGCATGGTGACGAAATGCCAGGTGAAGGCCAATGTTTGTTTACCTGGCATTTCTGTGCAGGTTTACAGTAGGTTGGACGCAATTTCTCCAGACACCGAGGGGTGCTTGGAGTCCATTCGCAACTGACTCCCTAAAACAACACCCTTTCGCCAAGCTAGGTGAGTTGGGGTGTTGCATGGTAAAGACGGTCAAGAGTTCAAATCCCTTGCAGTGTTTCAGTTCTTGCAGCCAAAGACTTGCCCGAGCTGCAGGCACTCAATTTGGCCAGACATTTCGAGCCAAACTATTTCGATGCCATCGTTGGGAAGACGCTGATCGATTGCTTCATGACGAGGACACCGGGGCGACTTCTTTTGCGCATCCAGCGACTGCTGTAGGAAGTAGAGCCAACGGTTCTAAGATGTTCTAAGGATTCATGGGCTGTTGTGGTTTGATGCTCATATCTTCACTTTATCAGTCTTCATCTCCGTTCTCCGTGATTGCAGAAGACTTGAAAGTAAAACTCATGTGGACACTAAATGTCCACTGGATGGGTTTTCCACATCGCCACCCACAGCTTTGATTTCTGAGGACCGATGCCGCTGGCTCGATCCGACAGCTCATGCAACAGTGCCACACGGTTCTGAAGGATCATGGTTGTGTGATGCTCTTGGACAAGGCAGCTGGGCCCAATTGCGTTTGACACTTCGGTCTCACCAACGTCCCCAGTCACGAAAAAAGCAGATCAATGACCCATCATATTTGTCTAGGATTCCAGGCAGTGGACATAAAACGACACCATTTCAGCATCCCAAAACATCCGTCCTCACCTTTTGAGCGCCTCCGCGATATCATTGCTTGTCGGGAAAGTGGAGCTTATCTCGACGTGGCCCCGTGGCCCAGGCGTGCGCCGAGAGCATCATCGGCCGGGGGAAGGCGCGGCAGATCACGGTGGAGATGCACAAGCCCGAGGGCTCAGGTTGGCGGAGGTTTCGTCGGATGAAAAGAACGAAAAGAGAGGTGCCAGGCTCTGCCAGACTCTGAGAGGGAAGGGACAAGAAACTGAGAGAGATGGAGGAAAATCAATGACAAACCAATGAACACGGCAAAAATGGATTGGAACATATTGGAACACTCTTTCGTTTGTATTTATAAAAACATATATATATATATATCACTCTACTTGGGGACAATGGTGTTCATCGAGCCAGTGCGATTTTCGCAACGCAACCTGTATTTCTGGCTTGGCCGGGGCGTTCTGACCTCAGAACCAATGTCTGTGTTTTTTGTTTTTCCGGTGATGCCGGGGGTGCTTCACCTGGTTCGACATGGCATGGAGTCCAGGAACCAACGGCCCATGTCCCCCCAGGGACCGATTGCTCAGAAAGTCACTCAAAGACTCAACGGTTTCAATGCGACATGACGCGAAGATCTTGGCGCAGTTCTTGAGGACCATGACCTTCAGAATACTCCACGTCATCCCAAGGCGCGGACAGTCCATCATTCGACTGTTACTGACATTGTGTTGAATTTTGGCGCACTGTGAGACGCATTTCTGCATTCTTTCTGGGGCTTGGGCGAGGGAGCCCAACATGGCCCAACTCAAATTCTTGGGTTTGATTGTGTCGGATTATTTGTTAGTACCGAAAGCTATTTTGATCACGAGTCGTTTCCGCACAGATGGAGACCTCATACACAAGACAGTGCGGCTGCCCATCAGTGCTATCCAGTGTTTGCACGCTCGTTTGAGTACGGAAGATCAAAGAAGTTGAGCACAATTCAGCGATGTTGTGACGAAGGTCTTGCCAACAGATGTTGGAGTTGGAATTCTCACTTTGCCGAGAATGTTTTAATGTTTGATCTTCATCCAAGCTCGCGCTGGGACACCCTATCGGCCCCATCATTACTCACTACCATTCCGATGACCACAATGCCATGTGCATCCAAGTGCTATGTGCAAGCCTAAGGTGCTCCTTGCCAGAGGCAATGGGAGCTCGAGATCGAGTGCCGCTGGCAGATTAGGACCTTGGCAGCTGATTTCGCAGCATTGCAGCTTGCATCTGAATTCGGAACAGCAAAATTGTTAGTTACTAGTAGCTTCTTGCCACTAGTAGCAAAATTCATGGTGAGCCTTCAGCTCATGCCAGGCCTAGTTTGCAAAAGCACTTTGTAGTGCGCCCAGCTGCAGCAGGCAGCGGGTCGTTTGGGGCCCAGCGCCACCCTTCGACAATTTTGTCAATTTGGTCGGGCAGCTTGTAACATTATGGATGATTATGACAGGGGCCGTTGTTTTGGCTCTTTGACAGCTTGCAGCCTGTTCGTTTCGTTTCCTTTGACTTCTCGTCGTGGCCATATCATCCAGAGCCTTCGATTCTTTGTGCTGCGGGTTCAAGAGGAAGCCTCGCCCTTTCGTTGCTCTTTTTATTGGCAAACCGTAGTCAAGATTGATGTGGTTTGGCGGTTTGGCCTACTTAGGATGCCAATTTACCATAATTTACCTGCATGACCATATTGGTTTGTGTTTCACATCCCCCACCCTAGTTTTAGGTCTTCACAGAGTTCCTTTGCAGCCCTGTGTGGTTGTGATGTCTCGCGATGCACCGGCCACCTTAAGGTTGCAGGTGTGGTCGACGGACAATGCAGGGGGCCTGGAGCATGGCCTGGGCCGTTTCGTGGGTTTCGGCGAGTTGCATCGCGTCGGCTTCGTGCATCTTCATGCCCAGGTAGATCGCCTGACCTGTGAAATAGGCAGACGATATACACAGACTCCACATGATTTGTCACTTCGAGCTATGAGAAGGGATGAGAAGGCGGTGAGCGGTCACCTTTGACTCACCAGAGGTGGCCAACATGGCGGGAGTTGAAACCGGAGACATTGTCCTAGGCGTGCGGGCGCATGTGTGCGGTGTGCTCACACCAGGGGTCACAGCCGATGTTGACAAGCATGTTCTGACTCATAGGTGACCGCAAAGGTTGCAGCCATTGGAGTTACAAACTTTGATCCTTCAAAAGTGGTGAGATCTCAGTGAGATTGAGTATCATTTGAACCGCGAGCATTGCTTGCGCCACCTGGCCATGACGATCATTATGCCATGACTATCACCACAGGCTACCGCAAAAGCGGTTGCAAGACGATGTCTGCGGGCGCCCCAAGGGCCTCGAGGAGCTCCGAGGATTGAACGGCCCAGGTCACAAGCATTGCACATGATTCGACCAAGTTCACCAAATAGGTCGGAGAAGCATCATTTGCAAGAACTATAACACAATATATATTAATATATATGTATAAACAATAAGATACTTAGGCAGTAATATAGGCAATTAATAGAGCTCCCCCATTTGGATGCGCTAAATCGGACCCTGGGGGGGGTGGAACTCGACCTCGCCAGACCGCCGACGATTCGTCGCCCCAGGTGGGCAGCGCCACTGAGACGGCCCGAGCGATCCGGACGTCCGGGGGCCGCGAGTCGCGGGGCAGGAGGACGAATGATCCAAGCTAGTAGAAACAAGTGCCTTACTAGTAGTAACAAGAAGCTAGTAGAAACAAGTGCATCGCTACTAGTAACAAGTGCCTTACTAGTAGTAACAAGAACGCTACTAGGGGCTCCTGCATGAGGCAAGAATTACATGGGAAGCTGGAATGTGACTTTAGTGCTCTTATGGCTCAGCGAGATATTGCAGTCCTGCTGGGAGAGATGCGAGTGTTATAACTATGAAGAGCTGTTTCCAAAATCGTCACATGAAAATCCTTCAGAAACCGTTGCTTCATGGTGGTGTCCAGGCCAGTGGGAGATATCACATTCTCCCCACATCTGTTTTTCTCCATTATGTCAATATGGTGCTTCAGCATGGACACCATGTGCCCAGGTCCAACAAGAAGCTCACCCTTCTGATGGAGCGGCCAGCCGCTGGTGCGAGCCGCCGGAAGACCGTCTCGTTGAAGACGAGGTGTGCAGCGACGTTTGCAGATGGTTTGCAGCGTCCATCAGCTTCCCAGTCTGCAGCCCGATTTTTGTGGAAAGAGGAAAGAAGATAGGTCCTCCTACAAGTTGGTTTGTGAAGTGCCAGTTTTGTGGACCTCACAAGACCTTTCCATGACAGGCTGATGTCCCGGCAATCTACCTCTCAGTCAGATTCTTGGAGGGAATCCTGGCAGTTGTGAACATCAACATGCTTTGCTCATGATGATTCGCTCAATTGGGATGTCACTGGTTTGAAAGTTTCAGTCTTGCCAGTGCAAAGGGATTCTGGTGTTGGGGCGATGCTTTTGCTTCCCTTTTGCCTTCCACGAGTGCAAGTTCTGGGCATGCACAGTCTGCAACATGGGTGCAGTCTTGCAGTGACCCATCTTGTTCCCTCGACCATCACCTCCAGAGAGAGATGAGGACGTTGGCACCGGGGAAGCGCATGGCTTGTTTGCACGTGTTTTCTGCCGAAGCAGAGCCATCCAACACCAACCAGAAGAGGAGCCAGAGGAGAGTTCTGCGTGTCAGGCCCTTCTGGAGCTTTTAAGGAGAAACCACTGCCATCCATAGGAGTTCTTGCAAAGGAATGCACCACTTTCGACAATAGCACCTAGCTCATGACCAAGCACTTCTTTTGCATCGAATCTATACAGTCACTTCAAGCATTTCACGTCAACCAGGTCAACTTGATCCTGAAGCCAGCTGGAAACTGTGCACTACAAGCCAGCTGGGTTTGTCCAACAGTCATGTGATTTTACGTGTGTGCTTTGGTTAGTCTGGCAGGATGGTTCAACTAGTTTGCACACCTTCAAGCACTCGATGCACTTAGCTCCACGGCCTGTGAAGCGAAGAAATCGCCATGGCAGTGGTCAATGACCAGCCGAAGCTTTACCGTGCCTACAGCGTTCGATCAAAGATCAGAGCATGGACGTGCTTCACTGCGAGTCTCGGTGGCCATGAAAGATGTCCTTGTTTAAATAGCGATGGCCTCCAACCGAATAGCGATGGCCTCCAACCTAATAGCAATGGCCGATGGCCTCCAACCTAAAAGCGATAATGGCAATGGCCTCCAAGCTAATACCGATGGCCTCCAACCTGATAGCGATGGCCTCCAAGCTCATAGCAACGGCCTCCAACCAAATTGCGATGGCCTAATAGCAATGGCTCCAACCTACCAGCAATGGCCTCCAACCTAATAAATGATGATGCATATAGGTCCGTTGAGGCAGATTATAGACACAGCCACAGCCTTTCAACAGTACTCATTTCATGACCAATGGACTCAATGGACCATGCACTGTCATAGGATTTTGCCTAACACGTTGTTAAGCGCTGTTCTCAAGTGCTTGGGCAATGTAAAGACAAGCACTGCTTGTTCACCATAGCCTCCTAGTCTGCTAGGACCGCTTTGAAAGGTTCGGTTGTTCTGCCTAAGCAATGCCAAGGATTGCTTACCAGTCACTGACAGTCTCTTGGTGATTGTTACTGAATTGACCCGCGCGAAAACCGTTTCATGTTTTTCCCCCAACAGTTTACTGTTGGGGTTCTATCTTAGAAAAAAAAGAACTGGCCACACTCACTGGCTGCGCCCCTGAACTCTGTGGCTGGGCTCTGTGTCCAGGCCTTGTCCTCCTCTTGTCCTTTGTGGCTGGGCTCTGTGGTTGGGCTCTGTGTCCAGGCCTTGTCCTCCTCTTGTCCTCTGTGGCTGGGCTCTGTGTCCAGGCCTTGTCCTCCTCTTGGCCGCGCCCCTGACCTGGGCTTTGTGTCCAGGCCTTGTCCTCCTCTTCTCCTTTGTCGCTGGGCTCTGTGGCTGGGCCTTGTCCTCTTCTTGTCTTCCTCTTGTCCTTGTCTTGGCCGCGCCCCTGAACTCTGTGGCGGGGCTCTGTGGCCCGGCTCTGTGTCCGGGCCTTGCCCGGCCCGGTTTACTGGAGAGGAGTGTGGCCGAACAAATAGCGATGTCAATGCCGACAAAAATTCATTGATGAAGCAGTTTGCTCTTGGGGTGAAGGTAGGGCGTACCAAGAAATCGAGTTTTGACTAATATTGGTCCATACGAATCGTTTTGAAGCTGTTTGGGGTCTATGCTTGTATAATTGTTTGTTCTTTGGCTTGGTTCTTTTGATGTGTATTTTTGCAGGCGGTCGCACTTGAGGACTGTGATGCATTTCCTGTCAATGACTGTCACTAGTTACACATAATTGTAGGATCTCTTTTTTGTGCCCTACCTAGATGGCTTAGTATATCATAGCCATACTCATAGCCATAGTTAAGCACTGTAAACAATTGAGTGCTTGAAAGTTTGCTAGTAGCTCCGCTGCGCTTTTCAACTGAAGCACATGGTGGATGCACATGTTGCGTAGTAGCTTAATTCATATTTGAAGGGTTTGACTATACTTCCGTCATGTTGGCTGACGTACATACATACATACATGTTCTTTGAGACACCCTGCAGTTTAGATTCTGATGCAACATAGCACATTCTTTGGAAAGTTGTGCAGTGTGGCCTGCGAGACTAACCTGCTGCTAGTGACTTCCCGGTGTAGTTGCATTCTATGATGTTTCTTAATTTTCTCAGCAGCTGTCCATGTCCTCAAAAAGGTGTCCAACAGTCAGAGGCTTTGAGAACCATCCATCCTCCACCATGGGCCTCCCAAAATCCTCCAGACGGTGATCGTTGGCCTGACCCTGAACGATTTGGCCCAGCGGATGCACCGCAGAGATGCCCTGGAGCTGCTGGGCACCACAAGCCTCGGCCCGGGCCGCAACCGCTGAGGTGAAAGCGCTGCGTTCCCGGGCCGTGGCCAGGAGCCGCCTCCATTCGGAAGACACATGTTTTTTTGGTTCGGTCGGGCCTTTTTTCAGGTGTAGCGGGTGTAGAAGTTGGTGCCTCACAGCATCCGCAGGCATGGACGATGGCCAATTGGTGCATCTCTTGTGATATTATGGGCAGGAGTCTAGAGGTCAAAACCCTCTAATTATATCAATGCCCTGCACTTCGTGAAGGCATGGGCTCATCCGGCGGACCCGGGGTCTCTGAAGGAAAAAGATCGGAACATCCCGTCATCCGCGTCGTTGGGATCCGATCCTCGCCATTCCGTTGTCCGTTCATCCGCAATCCGCTTATTGAACTCGTTCTCCATCCTCAGGTTACATGATCTCTTCCTGGGCAGAGCCATTGGAGCTGTCTTCGGTCCTTGGGACTTCGGTGTTTGGGTGTCATATGTGGAGCTTCGGTCTATGGAAGAAAAAGGATCATTTGAAGGTCGTCGTTTTCAGAACGAATATGGAGAGAGAGTGTTCCACGGTATTTGGGCCAGAAGTTTCGACGTATGCTGCATGCTTGACAGTTGTGCAGCTTTATTTGGTTAGCGTTTTCATGCTTCTTCACAGTCACATGTTATGGTACCGGCACTCGGAGGATCGTGGCCTCCCCTCCTTTCTTTCACAACTCCAGGTGGTTGAACTCATTGAAATGTCACAGTGTGGTTTAGGAACCATTTCAGGTCTGTTATTGGACCAAGTACTCTTTGGCATGTATATCTACAGCAGAGGCAGAAGCAGAGACAGAGACAGAGAGAGTGAGTGAGTGAGTGAGTGAGTGAGTGAGAGAGAGTGAGTGAGAGTGAAAGTGATCATTAGTGAAGATGAAGTGGTTTCATCGATCAATCATGGAGGAAGTCAAGCCAAAAAAAGGTCCTGACCTATCCGTTTTGATCAGAGCATTCTATGAGGCACCATGCTGGGAGGATGGCTTTGCGATGTTTGCCCCATCAAAGTGGCCATGAGCTGCTGTATCGGCAGCACCTTGGTCATGGAGGGTGATTGTAAAGCACAATGGTGAGGAGGAGGATCACTTCTGAATCCTCCGATAAGAGCTGAAGGCGCACCAGCTGCTGTATGTTGATGATGGCTTCCAAAGATTGAAGCCTCATGGAGTTCCAAAGTTGGGCTTTGGGCACGCCGGACACGGGATCTTTTGGGGGAAAGATGTGTGACAAAGGCTCCACTTCTTTCTATGCTTTGGATAGCAACCAATGGGAAGGTCTTCTTGGAGAAGGGTCGAGCAGCTCACGACGAGGTATGACTTCGGCGGTGGAAGAGTCGTGCAAAAGGATCTATTTCCTCGGGCTAAACATCTATCTCCACTGTGGCAACCAGACATCTCAGAGAACACGGGATGGACATCCTAGCAAAAACAGCCCTCATATCATCCACCATCAGGAAAACTCACACCCAAAGAAGTCACCAACATACATGATTCAACTACACTACACTACACTACACCACACTCACACCCAAAGTAGTCACCTGATACCATCCCTTCGTAGTGCACTGGCACACTACTCAACAAGCAGTGCCGGGCCGGACACGAGGCTCCGCGCTCTCGGTGCTCTCGGTGCCCTTCGCCGCCGCCACGGGCAACGCATGGATTTTGTGGCCCGAACGGATGGGGGGTGGTGACCTGGGTCGCCGAGCCCGTGACCGCGGATGCTTTAAACTTTAAGGGGATGAATCAAGTGACGGAGCTGATATGAAGCTACACATCATATCTAGCAGCTCGGAAAGCAGGCACCGGGCACGAAACGAACAACTGAAGAACAATCTTCAACAATCTCTGAAATGACTGGAGGTTCGGGGGGGAGGGTTATATAACGGGTGCACGTACATGAGACGTGATGCAATGGTGTAGCAGTGTAGCCCAAGTTCATGGGAGGTCCTTCACGCTGACCTTCGGTGGGGCAGAGTTGCAGAGACTGTTTCCACGGTTTGAGGAAACCGTCGCCCAAACATTATGCCATGACATAGGGCAGATGTTGCCTTTAGAGTTTTACAAAGAACTGGCTTCCCCACCATTAGCAAGACCATCAACTCCCCCCTCCACTAAGGCTGCTATGGTGTTCTAAATCTATACATGCATGATTGTACACATCATTTATGATATTGCATTCAGACCTTCGTATATATAGCATTTAGACACACACACACATATATATATATATACATATAGATATATCGGCATGCATATTCATCTATTTATATACACCTCAGTTGTCACTTGTGTTGGGCTGATGAATTCATCGTGTTTTGTGGGCTTCTTTTGAGAGCAGAAGTCCAGGATCCCCACGAGCATAAAACAGGTCAGCCAATTTCTTTCTGCTGGGATGCGTGGGCTCCGCCTTGGTCTCCTTCACGGTCTCCGCCGCCTGTTGGAGTTTCCCCGGGAAGGAGGCTGGATGTTTTCTTTTTTTCGTCGGGTCGCAGCATGCCGTCGTTTTGTGTTTTTTTTTCCCCGGAGGGGAGGGACCTTTGAGGCCCGGTTCCAGATGGTCACTTTGCAGTGGATCATGCTACATTGTTATCCAGTTGCCTAGCTGTCGATGATTGAAAGGTGATGAATGCCCGCGACTAGGGCTTATGCTGAGAAATTACTTTTTAGAAGGTGGCTTGCAAGTGACACCAGTTGGCAGATCATTTGAGAATGTCAAGGTTGAAGTTCAGAGTTGCTGTATTAAGCATTCAACTGCAATCTTACACAGAATCAAACGTGTTTGATGACACATGATGGACGTGCGGAGGGCCGGAGGGCTTGATTTGCCGAGAGAAGCGGTTGAAACTAGAGAAGCATCTATGGGAGGTCGGCCCAGTGTTGGCCACCTGCAATGGAGCATTCGGAATGACCAGTGCTGCTTTGCCGCTGATTTTCAAGCTACTGATTCTTGGCATGAGTTGTATCGAGTGTTTCTTAGAAACGCAGCATATAGAATCCATACATGCATACATGGATGTGCCGAAGACAGACAGTTCTTTGTCAGGCGGCGGGCGGTTAATAATTTCCTTGGAGGACCACCAGCTCCCGCTCTGAACTATCCCGAAGAGTTACAGAGTACAGAGGATGTTTGCAACATGTCCAGTATAAGTTCAGCAACAAGTTCCTTTAGCAGCTTCTGTGAAACTCATTGAAGATGTTGGTGAAAAGTTCCACCAGGCATTGGCAAGGCAAGGCTGTGGTGGAGTACAGTTTCGTGGCTGCGTGCTCTTTGCCACCCTTGGCCTTCCTTTTAGCCAGCCAGGTGGGCTGCAATCATTAGGCCACCTCGACACTTACATACTTCAAAATGCAGGCTACTGAAAGTTGGTCGTCCTTGCAACTGGTGGAAAAAATCCAGATGATCATTGCAACCAATTTGGATCTGTTGTGTCCGCCTGAGGGAGACAGGGTGTGAGGTGATGAGCAAGCCATTGTTGAATTGAAGGCCCCACCATCTTTTCCAACGCATCGAGACCAGCATTCTTGACAGGCTGTAGGTCAAAAGATGGTCTTGACATGTCTTGACGCCTCGCAACAATGGGATATTCACCCCCCCCAAAAAAAAAGAACAGCGAACACCATGGATATTTCTTCTCGTTGCACCCACGCCGCTTCTCTTCGTTGCTTTCCAGGCACCCACGCGGCCTGTGGAGAAAAGTCTGGAGGAGATCGAGTCTGAAGGGGACCAGGACGCCGACGGACGGCGGGTCTTCGAGTCAGTGGCTGCGACTGTCGAGTCAACTCAAATGGATTCGCTTTGGATCGCCAAGATGAAAGGGTTTCTTAAGCAACGCTGCTGTTGACAACAGCGATCCTTGAGTTCGGAGGTAGATATTATTCCAGGGTTTGAGGTGTTTATTCTTTTTTGGGGGTGGGGGTGTTGGCACTAGGTGTTCGTCCATCAATCCAAAGGTGTTCGCTCTTTGATGCCAGGATGCTGCTTTGCACCGTGTCCGCATCCAGCAATGGGTGGCGGTGATCGCAGCAGCTGTGGCGCAGTTCCTCTTCTCAGGTGCCAATTCAGCGTTGCACCTCGGTTCAGTTAAGTGAGATGCACATTGACCATTTGGTCGCTGGCGCAAATTCAGCACCACTAGAAACATATCATCACATACACTCAGTAGCCTTTTCCTGAAGGGAGAGGAAAGATCCACACTGCATTTTTGGGAGAGTATGCTTCGGAGAGTTCGAGCCGAGGACATGTGGGGATCGGCACACCTAGGACCTAGGCTCTTGTTCGAGTGCATGAGGGCTTCCGAATCTTCAAAGATGGGTGGATAGTGGGAAAAATGGTCATTCACCTCTTCTATGCACAGATAGTTAGGAACAAAACTAGCCCAGGGCCAGGTGATTTGTGAGACATTCCTTTGGATGTTGATGTTGCACTCCGGTTATGTTGCCCGAGGAAATCAAACAGCTTCTCAAACCCATCCAAACCCTCAGGCTCAGCTGGATAGTTCTCTACTCGGCTGACGATGCTTGGTTGACGGTTTTGCCGTTTGCGGTTGTTGGAGGATAATGTGGCAAACACATGGCACCAGATTATTATCGTCATCATCATCCACCAAGCCCGGTCAGGGCCCGTCGGCGCCCTGACCGGCACACCGCGGCACTCCAAACAGGACCAGAACTCCACAGATCTCGATAGAACTTCAGATTTGTGAACTACTGATTGGCCTTTTCAATGCCTTGTTACTAAGTATACTGTTTGGTTGATTAATGGAGGGGGATCCCCCTTCAGGTGAACAACCAAATGGGTCCATCATGGTTTATCTGACCAAATCGACCGATCGAATATGATCGACGCCTTTAATATTAAACGGACATAATTTTGGTTGTGAGGACCTCTCACCCCCTTCAGTCCTTTGTATAGACTTGAGACATGTGAACATGTGACCATGGAAAGGACTTCGCATTGGGGACTGTGCTTGGTATGGAGGTTGTTTTTGAAGGTTTGGTGCACGAGTGGCTGAAATTCAGGAAGAATAGCTTGGTCCAACCTTGGCGAGAACCCTTTTGTCGCGTGATCATTCCGCATGCCCAGCACCCTGTCCTTTCTTCCTTGGAATGGAAGAACATGCCTTTCACCCACCAGAACCCTTCCGGAACATGAAGAAAAACCAACACCCAAAAAGCCGAAGCCAACTCAGGAGCTGGAGGATCGATCCGTGGCGCCCTTCTTGGTGAGCCTTTTGCAAAGTTCTTTGATGTTGGGCTCCTTTGGCGCCTCGAGATATCAGCCACTCGGACCGCGTGACGTGTTTCCGGGTCGATGTCCGGCGTGGGAACGCGTCGGCTTCTCGTGGACCCACCAGGTGGGAGAAGTCCAAGGTCCAAGAACAACATGGAGCTTTCATGGGCCAACCATACATAATGTAGATGTTGAGGTTTTTTGCAGTTGAATTGCTCTTTCATTCCGTATCGGCATTGTTGTTGGGTCATTGATGCCGTTTCCATTGCTTGAAGTTCACAAAAACCACAGCGTCCATCGTCCATCGCTTTGAGGCGATACTTTGCCTTGTGGAACTTGGTGCTTTGGCAAGTCCCGCTGTGGATCAGGGTGGAACGCTGCGTTCGGGGAAGGCCACCTCTTTTTAACTCTTTGACCTAAACATACCTAAACACAATGTACCAGTCAATGTACCCTCATTTACTGAGATTTGTTTGTTTGCTGCAGGACTATAGGGGTATAGGGTGCCCAGAATGCAGGAAGTGATACTAGCTAGTTACTAGCAGCCACTGGCAGGTTCCTGCAGCAATGTTTTCCAACTGTCTTCATCGTGATTTCCGGTTTCCGAATCACGCGTCAGAATCCTTGTCCTTGTCGTATCTAAGGCCCGGTTTCAAGTCTTCGCAGTGCTCTCAGGGCTCTTGCTTTGGCTCCCCTTCACCAAATCCATCTTCGCCACCGTCTGTGCGCTGGCATGGTATGGCTTAGCAGGTGAGGACCCCCACGCTGTCATTCGCTAATATTATAGCTGCAGCAAGAGCGATCCAGTTGAAGCATGGTGATGCTTTATGTTGCCTTGCTTCATGTGCTGATCAATCTCGGTCTAGCCAGTGTCTTGGAGATGATTCGAGCAGCTTCAGCGGCTAAAGCTTTTAAAGATGTGATGCTCCAGAGCTGATGAGATTCTGATGATCACCTTTGCAGCAGGTGGACCTTTAGTCACTTATTGCAGCACCTTGCTGAATCAACATTGCAGCCCGAGTGGGTTGCAACTCGCAGCGGCCTGGCATGGACAGTCCATGCATCAGGGATATTCGGATATTGAGGGATGAGTCTTGATGTGAAAGCGAATCAACAAGGGCACCACTGACGATGGTGTGTTGTTTCCCTCGAAGGGCCCAGGAGATTGGGGGAGCCAGCCCGAGACTAGGCTTCCTTCGAAGGGGAACATTGGACAACATTGATCACTCGAATCTACTCTACCTTTTCTTGCGGGTCCCTGAGGTTATCAATGTTGGTGGCAACTTCGGCGCCAGCGCAGGAGCGATCATTGAAAGTCAGAGATAGGTTGTCTTCATTTGTAAAGCATATAGTTATCACTATTTTAGAACAAGGCCTTGACTAACCATCCTCAGCCACTGTTAGTGGTAGTGGAATATACTAATATAAGTACTAATATAGTTTGATATACCCAATGCATTTGTTTATATACAAATATGTTGATCTCTCTGTTGCATGTCGGACATAGCCCATAGCCAAGTGGTCGGTCCCATCGCAGCAGGCCTGGGAAGACATTTTCTTAGATTTTAAGGGCTGGGAAGGGTCGGAGATCGAAACAACCTTGGAGAGTGAGCCTCCAGTTTGTCCTGCCTGACTGCCAGGACCTTTCATCGTTGGCATCTTGATGATCAAGTCTGGGTTCCATGGCTAGATAGGCTCACGAAAAATCGAAACAAGAAAGACTTTCCATTGAGGATGAGCCAAGGCTTTCGACCAAGGCTTTCTCGGGTGACATTCTGTGACAGGCCACGCCCTGCCCCCTGGACCTTTCCCGTTTGCGCCGGTCACCCATCCACCTGATGTTCTCAAGGCCAAGTGCCTTGCCCTTGACAGTGTCCTACGCCTTCTTGGCCGCCTTGCTGGGTTTCGGCGTCGCCTCCATCGAGCGACGCTGGGCCGAGAGCGGAGAGCTCATGGGGCCGGCCGTGGGGTGGGTGGATGGTAGGTGCGGCACCTGGCAATGAGGGTAAGTCGTCACCAGTTGCGCGCCAAAGGCGCCAAAGGCGCCAGGGCGCTTTTCATGGCACAAGCAGCTTTTCCATGCGCCATATGATATGTCTAAAATGGTGGTATAAGGACGTCATGCTTGGTCTAAAGGCCAGATGCCTCCTCCGAGTCCCCAATGTGGAGAGCCACAGCTGGTTTGGAGTTTGGATAGACGGCGACCTTTGAACCAATTAAGGTTGAGAAATGTTGAGAAGAAGACTGCAGGAATGTTTATATACTAATAACAATTGACTAGTAACAAGTGCATCGCCACTGGTAGCAAAGTGCATCGCCACTAGTGGTAAAGTGCATCGCCACTAGTAGCAATTTGCATCGCCACTGGTACCAAAGTGCATCGCCACTAGTGGTAACGTGCATCGCCACTAGTAGCAAAGTGCATCGCCACTAGTAACTAGTAGCAAAGTGCACCGCTACTAGTAGCAAAGTGCATCGCTACTAGTAGCAAAGTGCACCGCAACTAGCAGCAAAGTGCATCGTTACTAGTAGTCAGGATCTGCATGCCCACTCATGGCCCACGTTTGACGCTGAGGCCGGCCTAAGGGTGAACCTTTGCTGGGCGCGGGCGGGCAATGAGTCCTGATGGTGAAGCTCCAAGTTTCAAGTGCGTGGATTCAGTTTGGGCTTAGCTCATTTCGCGCCCTTAGTGAAGTTAGGTGTTGGTGAAGAGCTGCTTTAGAATGTTTTGGGTGCATTTTTGTTTCGAAAGGAGCTAGCCACTTCACATTGACAAAGCCCTGACTGCGTCTCCGATGAGTCTCCCCTTTTGGCAATAGCCTGTGGGACGTCCGCGGCAGCGTCCAACGCTCGCGCTGCCGGTGGCGCTCCGTGCGTCGCGGTGAAGCATTGCTTCAGATGGGTTCTTCGAAGCCCATTTGCTGATGGGTCAGATGTCAGGCGCTGCAAAGGTGCTTCGCAATGGGTCACAATGGGGGGGGGTAATTAGCACCAAATGGATCAACGTGGGGCATGTTGAGTCGCTGAGCCTCGCATTCCGACGAGAAGAACAAGCCCAGCTTGTGCAAAACACCAGAAGGCTTGAGCAGCATCAGATTACATAGTGGCACACCAGAAGGCAGGAGGCTTGTGTTAATGCCGCTGTTTATGCCCCACCTACGCAGAGCCTGACATCAGACATCCCACCCCACTTGGACTGTCCGTGGGCCCACAGCGGATAGAAAAAGGCGAACGGCTGGATCGTTTTGGCGGGGCAGCATGGCACTGGATGCAGTTGTCAAGATGCCTAAGCAGAGTGTGATTTGTACTCTTCAGGGTGAATGAGTGCAGGACATGTTAGGCGGGTTGCCGCTTTTGTTAGGCGGGTTGCCGCTTTTGTTCTTCTTTTGCGACTCTATACGACTCATTCCAAAAGAACATCCACCCCTAGCCCTTCCGTCAGAGTTGCTTGGTCCCCATCATCAGAAGGCTTGACAAAAAGGCGCTGTATGTAGTATGACCTAAGATCACACTTGCATCCTTCTCGGGACATAGACTTTCAGTGGCTTGCGACGGGTGCTGCCTAGCAAGGTCAGACCACCTCCGCCGGTTGCAGAAGGCCCGCATGTTACGCGCGGGCGATACGTGCGGGAGCCTAGCGCCGCAGTGCCGAGACGGTCGAACGATCAAGCAAGAACTCAACATCTTGCATGCGATGAGTTTCATAGGTGGGGTGCTGCAGAAAGGAACGCGCGATGCATTATGTGTTCTATCATGCTAGGAGTAAGGAGGCGCATTCCTTGAAGCGATCGTAATCACATAATCAGAGCATAATTCGATACGATGAACGCATTTTGGACGTGCAAATTGTTGGCATAAATTGTTTGCACATGTTTACTTACAAGCAGCACCCAAGCTGTGAGCTGCCTTGGAAATCAGAAGAGGACCTTTGCGAATGATATGGGACCTTCTACCGAGAAAGGATCTCCTATCAGATTCGATGTTTGCAAGATTTGAGTCGAACCATGTCCTTCCCTTCCAAGCCCAAATGGACATGCCCAGTCGCAGGGCTTAAAAGACCTTCCAAATCATTCGATTCCATGCCATGCGCATTGATGACGATGACAACACCGCATAGAAATGTCATTCACTGCGGGTCCAGCAGTGTATCGTCCTTCCTCAGCGTGTCCCTGTGGGACGGCTGACGCTGCCGAGAGAGAGAGAGAGAGAGAATGACAAGTAGAATGACATCAAAAGAGCCGAGCAAAAAAAAATAGAATGACATTTCTTGCCCTGCGATGATGATTGCTTCTGTTTGTAGCCAAGTCGGTGTAGGCAAAGAGACCAAACAAGAAAAAACACAACAATTGAAAAGGGTGATGCATAGGGAGCCCGAAAAGAGAGGAAAAGGGAGAGAGAGAGAGAGAGATGCAAAATGACGGTGAAAGCGGGAGGGTTCACGCAATTGGCCGCTCAGTGGCTCAGTGGCCACACCTGTTGAACTCTGCATGCATCAACGCCAAGCGGTTGATGATGCTTGATGATGCTTGGCATGTTCGAGGGATGCTTGTATATACAGTACAGCTGAGACGCTGTGGACTCTGTGGACTTTCCTTTTGTTGGAGGCAAGCACTGGATGGCAAAATCTCCACGCCTGCAAACCCCAGTCAAGGAGGTTGTCGCTGAACTTGAGCGTTAGACATCGACCGCCGGTGCAGCGTTAGACATCAATCAGGTCTCATCCAATCACCAGAAATAGATCCTTTGAGCACAGAACCCCATCGGATCAGCCGCTTTATCACGTAGGTCCTGTGAAAAACAGCAAGAGCACACATCACCCATGAAACAAGAAACACATGTAGGACATGTAGTAATTAGTCATGACTGGTTAGCAATTGCCGACACCCCAAGGGAGAGAAGGGATCAATTTCAAGCCACTTGGAGATCGGCTTCAGCTGCGGAACGTGCTGCCATGGCCACACGTTCCCGCACGGCGCGCTACCGATGTGGTTGGCCCGCGCTCGACGATTGAGCAACAGCTGGCCCTTGAAGCTTGGTGTGTTTGGGACCTGGGGATTGATACTGTGTATATAGTCCTGTGCCGTGTGTATATATATATATACATGTATATGCACCTTCACCAACCAGACCCGAGAAATTTGCAGGGTTGGCGTTGTCCAAACCACGGTTTACCTGTGTGATTTTGCAGGTTGAAGAAGACAAATTACCACCGAGAGCAAAGCCTTTCAGGGGATGAGATGAATGAGAGTATGAATGAGATCAGTCGGAAGGTGCATTGCTTGGTGTTTGGAGCCAGAGCTAGACTGCAGGGAACGGGCTAGTGGATATTATAAGGCGATTGTGCACATCAGACATGGGAACTGTGTCCAAAAGTGTGAAGTAATACACGTTCACAGGCCATAGCCAATAACAGAAGTAAGACTCGACTCTATTACCTCTTCACTTTCTTGTAGTCAGTAGCCATCATATTCCATAGATATATTTGATATAAAATGCATTCGCAGTGAACGAAGTCAACATATCATGTCCCAAGTCAACACCCTGGAATCAGGAGCGAATGAGGCACCATCCTGCGATGGGATGAGTCCATGCTGGAGCCTTGCTCACTGCGTAGTCCTTTTAGGCCTGGTATGCCAAGGAAAGGTCGGAGTAGAAAGGACGGATGTTATGGTTTCTGGTGACTGTAACTGCGTTGTCGCTTCACTTGGCGCAGCTGCTCCTGTGGCAACATGTGTGTGTGTATTGAAATAGGGAGCCCCTTACTTCGCCGTTCTCGCCACAACAGAGGGAAGTGGAGGGCCGATCCTGCAGTTTTTTCTACACTTGTTTTTGTTTGGCTTTAGAAGCTTGATCAGAATAATTCTGATCAGACTCAGAGGAGGCCAATACCCGACCCCCGCAACTCATCAACTTACAGTGTATCAGGCACCGTGGGCAGAAGCAGCTTGGTCGCGGGGCCCATAGAGGCCAGCAGACGCTGTCTGATGCTTTTGCGCTGCAGCCACGCTAGCAGAAGTCTACTCTGTTTCAGCATGGATTTCTTGGAAGCTCATATCAAATACGGTCCTCCAAAAGGATGAAACTGATGAATGAGAGAAGATGAGCTGCAGTCACTAAGCACGAGTTTGGGGCCTAGTCTTGGGACAACCGAATTTATGGGTGTGATGTATGGATTCAACCGTCCACCGTGCACCTCGTTCGACTGGGCGTCAGGGCGGCAACCGTCCACAGAGACCTCGTCGACTGGCACTGGCAGCTCCGGTGCTGGAGCGGGTCTCGGTGGTCCTGAGCGTGGGAGCCTGGAGAGATGTGGAGATTGGGCTGAAGAGCTGAAGTTTTTCGTCGACATGCATCGAATATCAATGAAGAAAACAGGTGCTTTGGGAAGGAAACAGTGAAACGAAGTGATAGCTCACGGACTTGCTGAATGAGAGACAGAGAGAAACAACATCAATTTGGATTTGTTTGCATTGTTTCATCCAACGTGTTTGTTTTTTGTATATGACTGCTTGACATGTTCGTGTTCATTCACTTTGGTCTCAGGCACTGGGGCCACTGCAGAGCTCTCCTGGAGATATACCCAGCTCATGTACCTGGGGCCTCATGTTTGGTTGTAGCACATGATTTATGTGACCATCATCAACCATCCAATTGTTCATTGCTGAGATCTCAAAGATGCAATGATTGGTGGAACAAGGACTTTGTTCTAGCTACTAGTGGCGGTTGTGATTTGCAGCTAAGTACAGTTAGCCTCCGGAGTCCTCAGTCATGTCCTTAAACTGCACATGTCCTTGGGCTGTGGCTCAGGTACTCCTTGACCATCCCCCAGGAGGCGATTGCCGCTGCACTGCTAGTAGTTCTCCGCAGCGGCTACACTGCAGCTCGAGCTAAGAAGGAAACCAACTCCCCAAGGCTGTTAGGTGGAAGTGGTGGGCAGCTCCAGTGTTGCAGCCCGTCGCTGCATAGCTGCTAGCTTCCACTTATATGTTTGATCCAGGAACGTTACCTTTCCAATTTCCGGAAAACCTGTTTCTTGGATATGCCGTTCATGACAGAGAGCCACCGCTGTCCGCTGTCCGACCCTATTTCGGCCTCTAAGGCCACGATGAGGCTCTTGAGGCCGGAGGACAACTTCGCTGAGACATTGCGCTCGGGTGTGACCTCGGCCTTTGCCGATGTGCCCACGGAAGAGGCCATGTGCGGAAGGGGTGTATCAGGGAGTTGTGCCAGGGTTTAGGTTTAGGGTTGCCGTGGGGTTGGTGCGAAGTGGGGTGTGTCATGTTTTCGCATAGCGGATTGATCTTGGTATAGAAAGTTGAGTTGATGGCCACACTTGTTAATAATTGATACTTTCTATTTCATTGATACATCACTTTCTTATGTTCACTTCTCCTGCCTTTGCTTTTTTTTTGCCAAATCGGGGGAAAGTGACCCTTGTAGCAAAGTGCTCCCGTGAACCAGCTCTCGGCGGCAGTTTCTCAACCTCAGGTCTTCAGCCCCACAGAAGATGTCGCTCCTTTACTACCTTTACATCCCTACACCAACCCTCGCAGAGCCCAGCCACCTAGCGCTAGGCTGCAGAGCTGGTGCTGGAGGTAAGCCATCAATCTCGGGCAACCAATTACACGTGGCTTGGGCGACACCATTGGGTGGGCTTAGGCAATCATGTGAATGTTTGTGAGCTAGACTGGGTGTTACTGATACAGTATTATTGTTGGATTTGTGGCTTCTTGGAGTTAGGCAAGCAGTGGAAGCACCCTCGTCACTAGGGTATGATTCGTTGAAGTGTTTGTCAGTGAAGGCCCGTGATGTTTTCTTTTGAAGGTGTGCTTCGTCAACAAAGGTTGAGAGACAAAGCAGCTGTTTGTGTTACATAGATGAACTTTTGCATGGCAGTGTCATGTGAATTCTCGTAGCTCGAGTGGAGGATGAGTCCCTGAAAACCATCCCAAACAGGCGTGGTGATGCTGTGGCGGTCCAACCTCACTGTAATAAGTTTTCCTTGGACACAGGGAACAAGTGGTTTGTTGGCGACAGACGGGCATGGGCGACATTTCTGGTCAAATTGAATGCCCCACAGGTGTGGAGTATAGTTTCGTAGTTTCTTTTTTTTTCATGTTTTATGTTTTTAAAGGCAAGCTCAGTCCAGATGTTTAAACATTTGAACAGTATATGGTTTTGGTATGTATAGGTTCTCTACCGCCTGATTTTTGGTGCCACAGGGGTGGCCATGTGCTTTCTTTCTGCCCAGTGAGTCTGTTCCTAGTTCCGCCCAGGATTTTGGTCCTGCGATCCACGATCACATCCAACTTCAAGTTTCGGCTTCTAAAGCTGCACAAGATGTGGAATAGAAATCAAGAGATTCGTTTGGCAGCCCTGCCGTCTCGTTCGCGCGCCATTGGTTCGCAAAAGGCAGACCTCCTTGGAACGTCCCCTTGTTCCAAATGTATCCAAATGTACTATAGCCCTAGCAGGTTGTAATGGATCAATATGATGAGATGAGGTAGATCATGGTAGAGACTTGGACCCTGTATAACCCTTTACAACAAGTTCTAGCAGTAGTTCTATTGGAACTCAGAGACACACACGTTTCCTTCTCCGCGCTGCTCGCGCTCGCGCGGCCACCAAGGCTCTCCGACCCTGCGGCCTCCGCGTCTCCGCTGGCCACCTTGACGGGCCTCTCCGTGCTGGATGGCCAGGGACCGTTGCCAATGCGGCCCATGTACTTCGCAGCTGGGGCGTAGTACTGAAGAAAGCCTAGCCGCCTTTGATTCGGCCGGTGGAAGAGGGTTGAAGCAGAAAACAGCACACGACGTGGTTTTTGTTTTCTTGAACACTTCAGTAGTGACCGCCGCCTCGTTGTTCTCAGTGATGAGTAGCTTAGATTTGAGTCGATAGGAGGACCAACACCTGGGAGCTTTGACCCCTGGTCGCAAGCGTCAAGGACCCGCAGAGGAGCCAATATTTGGCCTTCGCCCAGCTGAACACTGGAGGACCGGGACCAGTCGACCAGAGCGTGTCGACCGAGGGGTCCGGGGTGCAAAAGCGACGCTGCAAATCTGGCAGGGAGGGATCAGCACCAAGGCCAGCTGAAATGGCTAGGAACGCGTGGGATGGTAGCTGATAGAACAACATGTCGTAAGTCCTGCACCAAGTCTGGACTTCAGGTTTATAAAGGGTCATGACAGAAAGCAATGATCATGGCAGATCCTTGCAACCGGTCCTTCGACCCGTCACCAGGACGTTCGCGCTCCGTGCGTTTGGTCGCCTCCAAGAACGACCCGAATGCCACACTGCGCTTACGTGTGGATGGGACCCAGTTTGGAGCCCCAAGTGTTGGACAGGCACTTGGGGAGATATGGGGAGCATGTGGGAGCATAGATTGGCAACGTGTTTGGTTTAGACGTTGAGACCTTCCAGACCAATGGCCAAGAAGACCAATCAGAGGCTAATGTACAAGGGCAAGCTGGAAGCGCTCTTGTAACAAGCTCGCGTTGGGGTGTCAAAAGCAGGACCTGGACGCGGATCTCTTCGATTAAATACTAAGTTTCCAAGGCCACATGCAGACCGATGACCGTTGTTCAAATGTTAGGTTAAATAATGTTGAAAATTGCCTTTGGAGCATCTTTGAAGAACTGAATGGCCTTTGCAACCAAGTTTAAGATCACAGAGATCTTGCACTTATATATTTCCATTTTGCTCTAAGGTTTAGCCCTGAAGTCTTCCAGCATGGCCTCAAAGAACTTATTATATATACTATTATATATATAGAGTCGATAGGGCCCGATACGGGTCAGATGTTCATTAGCTTTGATCCATGCCACTCTGGATGCACCTCAAATCTCGGGTAGTCACCGAGGTGGGAGCCGCTTGAGTCGGGAATACGCACGAGGTGGCTGAGCCGGATGGGAACAGTTCTGAGTGAGGAAGAAGAAGAAGAAGAAGCAGAATCAAGAAGAAGTGTAGATGTTGAATGGACACAATTGCTACTCTTGCGATGCCGTTTGTTTCAGGAGTGTTTTTGCAAACGCTCTACTCTACTCTGATTACACCATCATCCAGCAGTGTCATTTGCATCAAAGGTGAGAGGCTGAGAGGTTGGAATTGGTCTTTACTTGTCTTCACTGAGGCTTTGACACTCATTCTTTGAGCTGAAGAGATACCGAGACTGGAATTGCGCTCAGGTACATCGAAGTTCCACGCCATGCCTGGCTTCAAGTGGAGATCGAAGTGGCATCTCCAACAACCGCAGTTTTGGCCTGGGAACCCGGTGAGAGTGGTGAGTCCAGCGGAGTTGGACTAGTGACTACTTGTAGGTGTAGAAGTCCTTGAAGAAGCGGAAAAAGAAGCATTCCAAAGCTCTTCATCGTGTTTCGATGTCCAATACGCGATGTGGTGCATGAATGCCATGTCGCGCAGGGCTTAGGCTTCTGCAGGGGCTCACACCCTTTCCCTTCGCGCTTCCGAACATCGTGCTTCGGGTGGAGCTGCCACGCCACTGGCGCTCGGTTGGCGAGTGCAAGTCCCGGTCAGTTTGCTCAGAAAAAGTCTGAGACATGGTTCATTTTATGTCTGAATTTTCTCGGGATTAGGAGTTTGGCTTGGGGGAGAAGTCAGTGGCTGGCTGGTTTTTGACCTGGAAACCTTCCTCAGTCGTTGGTATTTTTCAAAAGGCCCCTCCAAACCTCAAACTCTTCGGTTCAGCACTCTTTGATACGCTTTGCCGACCAGCCAAGGGGGGTTTTCGCTCGCGTGTTCACGCACGAAACCGACCGGCAGGTCTATGAGATCTTGATCACCCGCGAGTTGCTTTGCCACGTGATGTGTCGCACCTGCTACGGGCCCAAGGACACGCAGTGCTTGTCCTGCAGGGCACCGTTGCTTTTGAACAACGGAAGCTGTTCGCAAACCGTGTCTTGGCACCTGTGCCAGTGTGGCGTGGTAAGAGGGTTGAGTGTGTGTATGTGTGTGGACCGGTTGGTGAAGAGAGATAATTTAACTATATGTGTATATATAACATATATATATATTACATTATTATATGGATATATATATATATATAACGTTTTAAACTATATATTAGGCCATCATCAATCCCTCATATCCTTTCACCATTTGTGAGAGGTGGAATCAGAATAAATCAGATCTTGTTGGGATCACTCACACGTTCTTTGGTTTGGCTCTCTTTCAAGCTCAAGGCCGGGGCTCGCATGAGCCCATGTCTCAAGGCTTGTGGATGAACTTCGGAAGGCATACTCCGTCTGAGAACGCCAGGCCCTCTAGAGGCCTCTTCTAAGTTTACGTCATGTTGACGGAGAGACCCGTGTGATCAGTGACATGCGGCCCCATGGGCATGACTCCCCTAGCACCACCCAGCCCAGAGATGGCTCACAACATACCACGCGTGGGCGTCGACGACGGGCCGAGGCATGTCCGCCAGGCAAGTACTACGACTGGAGACTCGGGATTGGAGACGTGCAGATGAGCTGGAACCGGCCCTACCCAGTCAGTGGGTAACCTTCAACCTTTTGGGGGGATTGGCTTCTCCACTAAACAAGAACATGCGTCCTGAGTGTCGATAGTGTTGCCATCAATTGCTATGGCATGAACGATAGAACAGGTGGAACAGATCAACGTTTTTTTCAGGGAAACTGAGGGAGTTAGGAAGTGACAGGCCCATTGACATGAGGAAGCTCCCAAGCACCATCAACCAGCCAAGGTCGAATGCTACATAGGTCTGTTTGACGCAGATGGTCCACTCCTCAAGTCAAAGTTAGTGTCAAAGTTAGGAGGTGCTACAGTATATTTACTGAATTATGTACTTTCACAGTCAAAGTTTATACTCACAGGTTCTGATAGAGTTTGCATGGCCTCTCTGTGTGCTCAGGACAACCTATCAATGCCAGCCTTGCCATGAGACCTGTGCACAGTGTGAAGGTGGAGTCGAGAAAAAGAGGGCGAGATGCGTCAGTTTGCTGATGGCAGGGTAGTTGTTCTGCTTGCATAGAATCGCTGGGAGACCTTCATGCCTAGCTCCACAACGTAGTGCTCACGGTAAGGTTCTGATCGTAGATGCCCCATGACGCTTGTTGGAGAGGCCCAGCATCATCGGCCTGCACCCAGTGCCCTGCCCTTTATTTGCTCTCACCGCCGGTGGGACAGGAGGAGAGGAGTTTTCTTCAGTGCTTCACAAAGACATTGAATCATTGGAGTGATGGATCCAAGTGCTTACCCATGCTGATTCTCCCACAGGATGCCCGCATGGCGCCCTGCGTGCTGCGCTGCTCCACTGGCCGCTTTGCACACCCCAAGAGCCGCCGCTGCCGAAAACCGCCCACAGCACCGGTTGCTGGCCTCGGGAATTTTGGAACCCGGGTCCGTCTTGGGAGATTGGGTGAGCATCGGAACCCGGGTGATCGCGGGTGTAGCAAGGACCCTATATAGGCCTGAGGCCGCATGCTGCCATCGCGCATGGAGCTATCAAGAGAACCAGGAGTACATAACATGTTCAGGTGGATGGAGTGCGATCGTCATACAGATGCGTTGAGTTGGTTTCCACATGCAGCTGGAGGCCCGTTCTTTGCATGTTGAGTGAACATTTTTGGTGACATGCAGTGAGCACTTCCGATGGGGCGGCAAGGCCAATGCCTGTAAGCAAAGAGCTGGTGGGCGACCCCCTGTGCAAGAAGTCCTAGGAAAAGCTTGGGGTCCTACCTATATACATATTTAGAGAGAGAGAGGGAGAGGGACAGAGAGACGTCCAACTTAATTTTACTCCGTTTTTGCACCAAAAAGCCCTTTGCAAATCCAACTTACAGCCTTCATCAGGAGCCAACTGCATAGGTTGTGCAAACTCTTAGGAAGCTTCAAAGAACAATTTTTGACATCAGGTGAAGAGCTTTTACCTCCAGTTCAAGTTCCGGAGCACATTTGAGGCACTTGTTGCACAAACAAGCTGAAGGGCATCAATGCATGGGGGGTGCCTTGGGAAATTATTCCAGGCATACCCTTACGTATTGGAATATTTTTGCTGGAATATTTTTTCTGGAATATTTTTCCATGCAGGTATGCCATACCCCACCGTGGAGCTTGTCGTGGAATAATTGTTTAAGGTATAAATAGGTTAAAGCGCTGTCCAAACTGAGCGATCATCTCAGAGGGATCCAGAGGGGTCCATATCAAATAGAGGTAAATTAATAAGTCGAATCAAAACAGTCGATATCAATCGATGTCGTCTTTTTGAATGCAGAAAGAAACTCTTGGACACAATAAGCTTTTGGATATGAGCTTGGGATGTTTGATTTTTGATTCAAATACATATATTGAAATGGATCCAACAGATTTTGGCAGTACATTAGGTGAAGAGACTGGGGATTGGTCAGTTTACAAAATATATTCCATATGTAATCTAGAGGTCACATACTGCTGGAATATTTTGAGAGAGACTTGGATGTGTGTCAAGTTGTTTCTGTTCAAGATTGCACGCTGCTTCAAAGCTTTCCAAGAGTGATGTCGTGACACCTTGGACTATTTACCTAAACCTATAGGATTATTATGTTAAGATGCCAGAAATTATTCTAGGAGGTTCCCACCCTGTGGAATAATTATCCAAATCGATGTTCAACCCTCCAGGAATAATAGATAAATATTCCTGGAGGTATCGACGGTCTGAGGTATCTAAGGGACCCCCCATATCAATGCATGCAGTCATGATTTCATTTGACAACCCACCCGATTCAATTCAACATGATTCAGTTCTTTTTCTGAAATATGATGGTATCAAGTTGCGGCGATCCACATCAAGTTCTATACCGTGATGGTTGCTCTTGGCAGGGGTGCGAAGCTGTTGTTCTATGGGCCTACCTTTGAATCGTTGCAGATGGACTCAGATGGACTCTTCTTTTCGATCGTGCGATCGTGCGATCGTGTTCTTGGCAGATCTCGTAGGCCTTTGCCGGAGACGCCCTGATCCAAGCTCCTTGGATCAAGGATTTTGCATGACGATGGAGCTTGCAGACTTCAGCTGCGCCACGCTTCGTTGAGCCTCAACCGATGCGACCAGGCCCATGTTGGTCCGGTGCCTCCACCGGCGTTTGCCCCTTGCGGGTCCACCATATCCAACCCATGGACTAGTTCACTATGGAACCCCAGCATATAATATATATATATATATATTATATACCTATTTATTTATCCATACCTAGGATTTTGAGGTATATGTATGCTTCTCCAGGAAACACGCCCCCATCCAGTTGGAGTTTTGTGGCCCATGATGTCCTTGAGGAATCTGTGGTCAACACCACGGCCTTCGTCTTGGGACTCAGTTTGTCTGACGTCCGCGCCTACCGGCTGGAGCCTTTAAAGGCGTGAGAGCGGTTCATAAGAGGGCTGCGGTTCCTTTTTTTCCGCCAAGGAGTTGCTGGAAAGGCATTTGGAAAGATTGTTGATGCTGTTAAGGACTCACATTCATCAGACAGGTGGTCTAAAGAGAGGTCTAGTGTTGTTTAGGGGTAAGCTACTGATGATCATCTTGCTGGTGGCCATTCAGACAAGTCATGAGAGGTAACAGAGGGCAAACCAAGAGGGACCTGCATTCATTCTTTGTGTATGTCTATTTTTCCAGGTTTGGGAGGTGCATAATGTTGCTGGAACATTGGCTTGCCCGATCCACAGAATTAGGTCTTTCGCCTGGTTTGATGCATTCTTTAGCAGAGCAGGTGCCAAGCCCCAGGTTGTTTCTCACTGTTTTATTTATTGTAGGAGCTCAACGGCATCATGCTTGAAGACTATTTGCCGCAGATGATGGTAGAAGTGGTGTCACCCTTCCTCCTCAAGGACCGAACGTGCCCTCGCATCAGTGGCAGACCTATTTTGGCTGTAGATTTTGCATTCAGACATTCACATGTACAAACACAATCACCCAGAAACTGCTAGAAAATTCGCATCACAAGAAATGAGTCATTGTACTGAGGTGAAAGAGTGTTGTGCTTTCTGCCCGCCACCCCACCCCGATGCCTGCTTGCCATCCCGATGCGCGGACGCCAGGATGAGGCGGACGCCATCTTGGTGGACTTGTGGTTCGGAGCTTTTGAGGCGACAGAGCTGGCCATCCCGAAACGACCCAGCTGGCCGTTTGAACATGGCTTGTTTCAAACAACCGGGCATTCCTGGGGGAGGTCCTTGTCCTAAGTAGGAACATGGAAGCGCAAGACATTAGCTAATTAGCTGCGAATTGAGTGCCATCTATAGCTAGGCCCTACCGCCTCATGATCCTCTCTGCCTCTACCAGGTGCCCCTGGATGAAGTCACCAGCTTCACCTGGGACGAGGTCCATCCACCTTTGCCGCCTCTGCCGCTGGAGCCGTTTCTGCCGGTTTGGCTCTGGGGGCTCATCACTTCAGCCTCCTCAGCGGTCGTGATGTTGATCCCCCTGCTGCTCGGTCGGGTGAGCGTCATGACTGGCATGACTTGTCGCTAAGGGTTGTGTTCAACAGCTCAAGTTAGACAGAAACCAGAAGCATTCTGAATGCGATGGTCAAATTGGAGATGGAGAGCTCCTCACCAAGCAGATCTGAACCGGTGGCAAAGTCATCCAAAGTCTTGGTTTTCCACATGATGAACCAACCAAACAGCTTTAGGATCCTTTCGGTGGCCACTTGGGTGCCACTCACCTCAGCCCAGTGCCCAGGTACTGCTGCTACTTCCGTCGTTTGTCCAGCACCCGGCGTAAGTACCGCCCAACCGCAGGGGTTGACCCCTCCTTCATGGAGAAGGTGGTGGCACAGTCCGATCCGCGCGTGGTGCGCCGCTTCGTGGCGCGGGAGGCCGGCGCGCAGCTGCTGAGGGACTCCGACTGACGGAGAGGAGGCAGGCGATGGAGACCGTGTGGAGCTGCAGCAGTCCAGACCGATCAGATGTCTTGTGAGACGGATGCATCACCCAGCTGGATCATGTCTGAGGATGTTGAACCTGACGTGGACTGGAAATCCTGGTCTACACCCTCAAGGCTCGCCTCGTTCCATCCAGTGACCAAGTGCAATCTTCTCCCCCTCGGCGCCCCATCGGGCGGCTGACCCGGGCCGCTGACCTCGTCGCCCGGCAGCACGCCCGGCAGCACGCACGGCAGCACGTCTCGGTCCGTGGTCGGCTCAGTTGAGCGACGTGTGACGTGGTCCTCCGCTGCGCTGGAGGAGCAAAAAGGCATGCGTTTTACCAGGTGTGACGGTGAGTCATGCATTTTATGTTTGTCAGGGGAAGTTGCAGGTGTGTTTCGTAAACTCTTATAATTATATAGGGACTATATATAGTTATAATCATGTTCTATTCTATACTATATATCCTTCAAAGTTTGATCCTGCACGACACAGTTGGTAGGGATTCAGTTCAGTATACTTTCTTCGACGAACATGCAACCATAAACCAAAGCTGAAGCTGGCATTGCCCAGGAATTCTGACCTGTCGTTGCCCCAACTGAGACTCGGTCGCACAATCAGTACGGGAAGACTTAACAAAGAAAGAATATGAAAGAACGGTCTTCAATCTTTGGTATGAAATCCTCACGAGAACATACCAGAACCATGCGCGTTCTGTTGTGGTCCTTTGGCTTTTGTTGCGCGCTTGAGGGTCTCACGGGTGGCTGTTTTCGCGAATGTCGTGCCCAGGAAGGTGAAGGCTGACTCCTTCATTTCAGATTACACCTGCCTGGAGACCCAGCACGTTGTGTACACAGAGCTTTCTCACGTTGTGTCACAAGCAGAGCCCTCATCAGATGTTCGAAGTTTTCTCATGACGAACAAGCAGTGCCATGTTCTTCTGCTTTAGTGGGGGCAAACCGGTTCCCCTCAATTTACACGGTATGAAGTTGCATGAATTTGCTTTTCTCCCTCACGCTCAAGCGACTGACCAGTTTCACCCACAAGATCACATGCCAAAGCAGCGAGAGGAGCGCACAGGATGTGGCCATTTACTAACTACTCCACTAAGCTATACACACTGGTTTCTCTTTTGTGTTCTTCTTGAGCGGAGAGATGGATTTGAGGCAAATTCAGATGATCCAACTCCCATCCTGACCATCCATGACCATCACTCAAGTCTGATCCGGGAGTGCCAGGCGCTGCTGAGGGCTACTTCATTTGATCTTGGATCCGAGGGCCCAAACTCGCAGATTCGCAGGGATCCGGGCGTTTCGGCCGTTTCGGTTTCCTTTTTGTGCGACGCTATGGGCCGCTTCTAGCACCATCTAGACCGTTGCTGCGGTCATGGGACATGAGTCAGAGTGGTGGAGCCTGATGGAGCAATCTGTTCTTAAAGGTGATTAAGTGAGTGTACTTCTTCTCGAAGCTGACCACCATGGACACCAGCAGCAACTGGCCAAACCAGCGACCAGCTTGCATCCTTGGCCATGTCATGTGAAAGAAGCGCTGAATGATGAGGAAACTCTGAATTAATGTAATTTGATGTAATTTGCAATGATGCATGTTTTTTTAACCTGAAGAAGGGAGGCAACCTTGAAATGAATGCTGAATATAGATTCAATGCGGGTGGTGGGTGTGTTGTGTGTTTGCGGGGAGAGGTTAATAGTGTAGTTGTGAAATCTCTTTTTGATCCTTCCGGTCACGCATAAAGAATTCTGTCTACATGTGGTGATGGTTGCTCCATGTTGCTCCTTTTGAAGCCTTTGCATGTTGTTTTTCCCTGATGAACCTATTAGAACCCCAATCGAACAGCTGCACGGATAAGAATGAGTGAACAAGGTC